GGAGTTTCTTTTGGTAATACAGACGGAATGGAAAGAAATATATAATTCAATTTGTATCTACGATATATGTCATTGCGTCATAATGTTGTTGGAAAGGCTCAAGGTACTGAACACATTTTCCCATTCAAAAAATTTACTTAGAAATTTGGGTTCTACTTATCAGAGATTTTCTTGAAGAACTTCATTTATACTTAACAAAGAATTTCTTGACAAAAATCATGAGAACTTCATTTATAATTAGCAATTTTAAATGAAACTCGTAATACTTAGTACTGGATATAAAACTATACGGTATTGTATAATGGATCTACTTTTCTTCATTCTTGTGTTTAACTTTGAACTAGAAAATAAATATGAAGGTTGGTGATTTTTACTGGTGAACTTTTGAGGCATAAAATATAAGCACAACCTGTTTATTTTCTAAGAACAATCCAGATATGATATATAAACGGTCATAATTGATCAATATTACATAAGAAAAATCTTTACATAATAGCAGTTGGATAAGATTAGATTAAAAACCAAAGCAAACTCCGGAGACTTCAGAAAGGAAGTTTAATTGAGTATTTATATAAATATTTCAAAGTAAACCCTTCTTAGTGCTCACCACATAAAAAAGAAAAACAAAGAGAAAAGTAATTACTGTAAGTTTATGAGCTTTATAGGATTTTTTTTTTTTAATAGCACGGGAAGGATGGAGTTTGAGAAATGGGAAGGGAGAAGGGAGATTAAAATTAACCCAAGAGTACGTCTAAGTTTTGAAATCTTAGCCTTAGTCATTAGACTAATTAAGGCCTCCTCTATAGCTTTATAGGAACTTAACAATTAAGAAAATAATCTGGTAATTGGAATGTTGATCTTTTTTATTTGACTTCATCTGAATGGTTTTAAAGATGAATGGTCAGCTAAAAACTTTTGACGGTTTTGATAATTGATCGTTCAACGATGTTAATATAAAATAAAGTACATGACATTTACCTCAACCTTGAGCCTAACTAATTATGTATGCCATTAATTAATGAGAGAGAGCATAAGTAAGTCAAATTTGATAGCTAGAATTGCCAAGAACATAATTAAGTTAAACTAATCTCCCTCAAATTTTTGACGAAAGTTTATAAGCACAACTTGGTATCCTCCAAAATGACGAGAGGGATTAATTCCATGTTTTAGCCACAATTAATAAGCAAGATAAGCAAAGAATATAAACAATTACCATCACTTACACATAATATGTGCTAATTAATCAAGCATATCCCGGTCGCTAATGTCATTGATTAATTTGTCCGACTTGGCATCTTTTCATTCTGTTTTTTTTTTTTTGGGGGCTAACAAACAAACTAAGCACCACTTGATATCCCTTCAATATTTTTTGCCAACTATACTTGGGGTACAAAATAAATGTAATTCTCTCTCTCTTTTCTTTTTTTTTGGATCATCAAACAAATGTAGTTTTCATAATTTTTTCTTTTTTAGCAAGAAAATGAGATTGGAGTTTTCTTTTTTTTTTTTTTTAATTCTCGCAGAGAAGGGTCGGAGAATTTAAGAAGCAGGGAAAGAGAAGGGAAAAATGATGCCAAAGTTGATGAACATAATGATTAATAAAACACAAATAAGAACTACCGAAAACATAGATCTTTCAACGAAGAAATCAAAATTAAATTACTAACCCTGAATCCCAAATATTTACTTCAAAAGCCGGCAACCCTTGCTAATAACCAAATACCAAAAACATAGATCGCTAAGGACAATTGCTGCCGACGTAGTATGGTGTCAATTCATCCCAAAGTCATAGTTTTGGTTTTTACTTTCAAAAAATATCAGCAAGAAAGCGACCTCTTCAATTGGGATACCGTAACATAATGGAATACTAATGAAAGTGTTTTACAGGCAAATAATGAAAGTGATTTAGTGCAAACGTAGCTACTTGTTGACTAATGAGCAGCTGCATTGATGCTTCTTTAGTGGAAAGCAGGAGGAAGATTTTTCCTACAGAAAAAGATTGTGTCATGACCTAAAAGTAAAAAATGGTAGCAGCCGTCAGCTGTCATTCACCAGAGATCATGAAAAAAAAACTAAATAAATATTGGCACTGGTGTAAGCACCTTAGACCTAAGAATTAAATTGAATAATAAAAAAAATCTTGGACCTAAGAATACTTATGAAACTGAGATGACTGAGTTAACAGTAGTATATTCAGTCGGAATTTCGACTAAATATATGTGGATTAGTCAATGACAATGAAAGCACCTTGTTGGGGACTTTTTTTGATTGGTATGATGGAATCCAAGGAGAGGATTACAATTCGGATAATTAGCTGCGTAAACAAAAGTGATTAGGAAAAAACTATCACAAGTATGGTCAACTATTTCTTCTTCTTTTTTTTTTTCTTAATTTTTGAAATTTTTTTTTTTTTTTTATGATAAGGTTATGGAAGGAACCTTCGAGGTAGAAGTATTACAAACAAATTACAGCTCAACAATATTGCTAGTTAACCCGCAAATGATGACTTGAATATTTATTAGCATAGAGGGAGTAGTTAAAAAAGCTCACACACGGTCAAGTTTGAATTCAATAATAATTAGCTGGATTTGGGGCAGGGACGGTCATACGGTTCATGGTCCAGATTGGACCATGAAAAAATGTGCGGCTCAGATAACAAGTGGTAACTCGATTTTCGCGTCAAGTGTGGGGCCCACCACTATGTGTTGTGAAAATACAATCTGTGGAAAAAAAGTTACACGGTGAACAAAAGAAGTTACGCGCTGTTGATGAAGAGGGAATTTGCCAGGGACGGTTGCACCTGTAACCGTCCCTGCCCCGAGTCCTAATTAGCTAATGTAGCATCAATCATTTATTAAAAGTTTCAAAATGGCAATTTGTTTCCTAGACTTGCATAATCCTGGTAGAGTATTAGCAAACACAAAGTGCATAACAACATATTATTAGGACCAATAAAATCGGGCCCAAGACGAAAAATCGAAGAGCAGTCATGTAATTAGAGCACGTTTTCATTTGTTTTCCATTAATTGAAAAATTACCCGGAGGGAAGTTGAAGTTGATGTAAGACTTATCATTAATTAGAAAGTTCACTTTGAATGTACTATCCTCCTAATCTATTCTGAGTTTTGAGTGAGTCTTTTGTGGTGTTCGCCAAGTAGAATTGGTAAATGCTCTTATTCGTGTACTCGTTTTTATTAAAGTGTTTGAATTCATGTATTGGTACAAATTGGGGTAAGATCGGGTTGGATAGTAAGATGAAAGAGATCGTAAGTATAAAATTCTGAATTCAAAACCTCCTACTTATAAAATAATAATAATAATAGCCAATCTATAATGTCACAGAAACGTAGACCCTCTTTGGTAATCTGCTCAATAATAAACCTTGTAAACTCTTTTCCCTGATTAAGCAGCTGGGTTAACCTAGATTATCTGAAACTGGTAAAAGCCCTACTGGTAAATGTGTTTGAATTTTCTCAACTCGTGTGGAGACCATGTCGAACGAGAGCCATGAGCATGACTGCATGAGAACTTACTAGGAACAGCAGACAAATGTATTTCATGAAAGGACGTCGTCATTAGCATGACATCATTCTCTTCTAGCCACAAAAAGGAAAAGCAATGAAAATTTGAACATACAAAATCGAAGAGAATGAAGAGCAAGAAAGATCAACCAGAGTTGGTTTCCAAATCTACTGACTTGGTAATTGCTGTACACAAACACAATTGGCGCAGCTGGTTCAACTTCTCTCATTTATGTCCGGGCTAGGACTACTTCCAACTTATGACTACTGCCAACTACTATATTGAAGACATTTTAAACTCTGGCACTGTGCACGATAAGCTAACTGATTTGGAAGCGGCATCTCTTTGAAATTTCAAAGAGTTTTGCACTCCGTACAACCAAATGATGAGGCGCGATATAACTCCTTGAAGTGACTAATTTAAATTGGCATTTGGTGAGGAGTTAAATGACCCATGTATGACAATTAGGATTAAACTTCTATACATTGACAGTGTTCATGCTATTATTATTGGATGCATGATAATTAATCTGAATTTGAAATCCAAAATTTGTTTGTGTGTCATGCAACTAGCGATAATAGTGTATAGACTATTAGCGTATATAAGATTAATTTTAACGATTAGACGTGTTGATCGGTAAAATAGTTCTTCGACGCAAATGTTGATTGACTTTTAGGATTGACGTACGAAGGTTGTCTTTATAATAAGTACTATGTAAAAGATGGACTTCTTCAGAAAATGGTTCTAGTCAAAACTGATCCTCCAATATTTCTGTTCTTGGTAGTTAAAACTACTGAAAATCCCAATCAAACTCTGGTAGTTGATAAAGACACTTGTTGCACTGATTATTTAGTCAATTATGGACAACGAAACAATCCCATTCTCCAGTTAATTTTTGCATTCGGTGCAATGATAATGCATCGTTATCTTTTCCTTTTCATGGCATTATCTGTTACTAAATGTCTGAGCTAACCATGGCCTCTTACGCTTCAAGTAGTTGAAACAGAAGCATGCAGAGGACTGGTTCAGAACAGGTTTGAAAATGTAAAAGGAGAATGTTGGTTACTCAAGAGGCCAGCATTGCAATTTTCTGGAAGACAACAACGTTTCTGATGACTGCTTCTCCTACTGAAGTATCAAGACGTCTCTTTAACAACTGCAACTTTCAAGCATTATCTTATGAGAAACAGATAATCTTAAGTATTCTCTTCTGGAAAACACCTAATCTACATTCAATAATTTTAGCATTAAAGCGTCCACACTCACCTTGTTTCCTAGGTAGTTGCTACATTTATTGTAACAATACCGGTTTTCAAGTCATCAAGATCAACAAAATTTGGCATACATGGCAGCCATAAGTCGCGATTCCGTTTTCCTTTAAGCATGATCAAATCAACTAGCAATATGGATCACTGTGCATAGAAAAATTCCAGTATCAGATTAAAAGCAGCAGCAAATCTCAAAGATGATTGGACAACTTTAGTTTAAACAAGCACAGCTTTTTATTATTCCTCTCATACTGTTACATGGTTTATGGAAACACTAAGATTATACATCTGGCTGAGTTGACAGAAAAACTCCACTTCAGCCATCACCTACTGAGACAATTAGTATTTAGTAATTAAGCAAATAATATTAGTACAATTCATACGTTTAACTTAGCTAAGGGTGATACCATGGAATCAAACTACTTCATGCTACGATTAAATTACAAAATCTCGGTAACCAATTAGCTATCTCAAATTCAGATCATGATCATCTTCAGCATCGACATCTGCATCATTTGAGAGCCTAATTTTCTTTCCATCTCTTTGTCCTGTTCTTCCCTTCTTTGGTTTTCCGCTGAAAGAAGAATTTCAATTTCACTTTGCCATAGATATAAAAAGGTTGGAAGATAACAGAAACGATAACCGCCTCATTTAACATTCAGCATTTGGTGAGATAAACCAACGAAATGATTATAAACCTTTCAAAGCTGTCCTGACTCCAAACGAATAGAAAGGTCTCTAATCATGTACAGGAACAAAAAGTAAACTTACGGCCCATTAATGGCTTTGCCTCCACCAAACGAATAGAAATGATTATAAACCTTTCAAAGCTGTCCTGACACCAAACGAATAGAAAGGTCTCTAATCATGTACAGGAACAAAAAGTAAACTTACGGCCCATTAATGGCTTTGCCTCCACCCTTGGGCCGAACTTGACCAAGATCTGATTTCCCATCTGTGTCCAATGATAATAAAGCACATAACTGGACTACGTGAGTGACTATGAACGATAACACACTCAACATCATAGGAAGCAATTACCTTCTTGCCCAGTTCCAAGCTCTTCTGTCTGAACAAAGACAAAGACAAAGAGCATATTAGTCTCAGAACAATTGTCCTACTTAATTAAAATCCCAAGTAACATGGCATTCAATGTCTTAATTTTATAAGACAAGCAATATTACCATGGTAAACACAAAAAACTTAGAGAAGGAAACTAGAAATAGATAGGAGGTATACATGATGTAAAACTCTACCTCTAGTATAAAGACATGAAGGTTATAGCACTCCAAGTCCAAGACATGTTTGAATCTATGATGATTTTCATCTCCAGAGAGGGGCTTGAAGAAACAGTTTCATAGCACTATTGAAGTTAAATACTTGAGCACAAATTTCAGTAGAAAGCTAAGTTTTCTTGTTCTACACTAAGGCTCTCAGACTTTCCTCCTTGCCAAAATCACGATTACAAATCACTTCAAATTGCAAAAACCTTAAAAGAAAAGAACCCTTCTTCGTCTAAATTCGCAAAAGCATGCAATTATAAAGTAAAAGGAGGAGCTTGGCAGCACAAAACTCTTACAGGAAATTAGCCATGAAGAAAATATCCCAGATGCATAAAGAGAAATATCATCAAACACAAAGTTAGCTAATCAGATAATTAAGAAGAAACCCGCTGGTAGATGCTACATCATACAGATTAGCCAAAAAAGTCTCAAATATTACCTGAAGCTAGAGCATATTCCTAATCTTAGTGCTTATGCAAATCAAGACATGCTCTCAGATGTATAACTAGATAACAAAATTGAGACACCTAACCTCAAAAATCGAACCCTAGAACTCAGAGAGTCAGATTCGAATGAAACAATAAAAGAGTGCTATAAACCTATATATACACAGCAAAAGCCACGAAAATGTGCAGAAAACATTCATGTGGTGATCACTTCTCCATTCTAGAATAAGTTACCAAGACCGTGAAGTAGGAATTTTACAACATACTTCAATATTGAACTATCTCACATACCGCAGGTGAAGTCACAGAGGACAATGAAAACACCCTATCTTCAGGCTGAAACTTTTTGCTTCTCTTAAGGCTGTGACACAATACACAAAGAGGTTACATCAAAAGCACCAGCAATTAACCTAAAATGTCAACAGTAAGCAGTCCTTTCAAAAGATGCAAAAAGAATTAGAAAAAAAAAAAGATTTGGCAGATGTATAAATACTAAACAACAGGTCTATCCGCACCACTTGAAGTAACAAGAATACAAACATGTGTAAATTGGGTGGGCAGGTCGGGAAGAGGTGCTATCTGAGAGGAAAATAAGCACTGATCAAATGAAAAGTAAAGACTGCATAGAAAGTTGCATACTTTGCTGTGTTTTTCGATGCTGAAAGGAACCCATCGAAACCTTTGAAGGCATTACCAAAATTGCTTGTTTCTTGCAAATAACTCGTCTCTAACTCATAAACCTACAAGAATCATTCTCCACAACCTTAAACTCTTAAAATACCAGAAATTTTACATCAAAAAGCAACCTGCGTTACAAGCAAGCAGCCCTCATAAAAGCAAAACAATCAAACCCCGTCACCTATACATTGTCACTCCCCAGTATGCAAACACATATACAGAAGTGCACAAAGTTTCAGCACAGCTGCCTCAGAGTAAACAACAGAGAATGTCTAAAAACAGAGCTCAGATGCAAAACGTAACCAGTGTAATTCTAACTTTTGCTCGTCATATTCAATGCTTGGTTAATGCTGCTAATTACCAGGTACTTGTATAAAAATTCTTACTCTTTACTTCCGTTCTCAAGGATTTAAAACAAAAAGAACTGAGGGTCCGCATAGCCTGCTGTACAAGGGGTTCTGTTTCTGTCTTACAACACGGATTCAATTCTCACTGCCTACGTATCCTTACAAATCTTACTTCCCTTTCCAATCCTTCTAAAAGGATGTAAGAACAAAAATAACCAAAAGTGGCTTTACTTACTATCTTATTTTCACAGGCAATCAGTCTTACAGTACTTTCAGCAGGTATAATTTCTATTCTATACATCCAAAAATAAATAAATAGGTAAATGAAAGAACAAATTTTGACAGTAAAACAAGCCCTGAACGGGTAACATATGAACAATCACTTGAAGATGTAAACACCACATCAAATTTACCTGCTTTTCAACATTTCGGAGCTCTTCTTGAAGCTTTTCTCTCGTACTCAGTAGAGAAGTGAGCATGGCCTTAGGGTTATGGGAACCTCTATGCCCTAAATTATGGGGAAAATCATCAAATCCAATTCTTTAACAAAAACCGAATTAATTAAAAGGGAATAAAACACTTGTATTTAGGTTCAAGAAGCAATATCCTTTTATGCATAAGATTGAGTGGCCAATAAAATTGAAGTGAAGAGTGCAATTAGGGATTGCAAGAAAAATGAGCAGCAATAATCACCTTGAAATTCCATTTTGGCGCATAAGTCACTCTTCAGTTGGGAATAGATAACGGTAATTTGAATATGGAGGGACGTTGAGCCGAATCGAGGTGGGAGTTTTCCGGCTTATCCTTTTAATTATTATGCCTCATTTACTCCACAACTTACTGTTCTCTTCAGTGCGTGGCATTGGGTTGTTTCCCCTAATTTAGACTGTCCTCTACGAAATTTGAAAGTTTTCGTTTTTTGCCCCCTAAAAATTTTAAATTTGAGGGCATATACATTGCGTAAACAAGTCAAACTTAATCCATTAGTTTGCAAATTTACTCGGTCAAAACTCGAGGTCGAGTTCAAACTCGCTTCAACCAAATTCGACCTCGAGTTTGAGTAGTTTGAGCTATTTGACAAGTCAAGTTTGAGATTAATAAATGAAGTTTAAAAACGCGTCAAGTTTAATCAAACTCAATCAACCTTCGCATATATATGTTTTTTCAAATTTTTTTATTTATTTGTATGAATTATTTATTTTGTCAATTGGTTAATGTTATATAAAATATAAATTTACATTTGTTAAACTCGATTAGGTTTGATGAGCACACACTCAAGCTTGAGCTCTAGCTTAAGTAATGCAAAACAAAATCGAATTTGAGTTCAAGTTCGAATCAAGTTTTTTAACTCAAATCGAGTTTGAATAGTGCACTACTTGAATTCGACTCGATTCAATTGCATCCTAATATACACCAAGTTAGAAGTTGATATAGATCACGCCATAGTCGAAGATGACTAGGCTTCTTTCGAGAAAAAAAAAAAAGGATGATTAATTAGGCTCAATAGAAGCTTGGCTAGGATTAGTTTGACGGCTAATCAAATCAAGCTTGGTTTGTTTGGATAGCAAGACTTTAAAATAAAAATTTCAGATTTTGTTTTGTTTGCATCATACACACAATTTCCAATCACCTTTTTATCTCACATACATCACAACACAAAAAGTGCAATAGTAATTTTTTCAAATAAATATTTCAAATAACTTCCTATCCAAACAAATTAATTGCCTTGTTTTGAATTAATTGGAAAATCTCCAAAATCATCAAAAGATTTCTTAGTGAACATTTAAAATTTTGATAAATATAGAACTTTTATTTCAGTAAAATTTCATTGAGCCTTATAGGCACCAAAATAAAAAAATCAATGGAAGAATATTTAACACATGATATGGAAGAATACATATATATATATATATATATATATATATATATATATGGAAGAAGAGGAGATTATTATTAATTACTGAAATTTGAAACGCATCCAACTATGATATATTGACAAGGGCATAAAATTATGCATGGAATTGCCTCTACAAAAATCAAGACCCACAGTAATATCATTTCACGTTTTTAAATGCAATAGAAAAACCACCCGATGTGTTACGCGCAACATTTGGTGAATAAGAAACAACCAGGGCAAAAATAATTAAGTCTCACAAAGAACTATAAATTAATGGCAATGACTATGGCTGTAAACAAATTAAACAGCACGCGAGCGCATGTGAGTCGGCTCGATCAAAGCTCAACTCAAACTCAATCAACATCGAACTCGAGTCAAGTTCGAGCACAGAAAATTGCAGTTCATTAGCTCGCGAGCCGCTCAATTATATATATAATATATATTATTTTTTATTTTAATAAAAAAAATTACATATATATTTTTTTAATATTTTATTATTTGTTAAGGTCAATTACTATTTTATTCATTTTTTCAAAATAAAAATAATTATTTTTTATTTTTTAAGCTCAAGTAGGCTCAACATCAAACTTGTCAAGTTGGAATTTAAATTTGAACTTGATAAAATTGAGTCGAAAATTGAGTCCACGTACAACTAAATATGATTTTTGGTCAAAGTTTAATGGTTTGTATCGTTGGTGGAATGCATAAGATCTTATTTCTTTTCAGGTACTAATATATATAGTATAAAATTGTGTTATGTGAGTCATGTGGATCATCCTTCAAAAGTTGCCGGCTTTTGAAGGTTGTTCGGGGATTTCGATTTATATGCTAAAAGTCTGAATTCTCTCAGAAATTGACAAAAAGACAGAACTCTCCATTACGGGGTACTTGGGGGGTCTTTACTTTCTAGCAGCAGGGTTCCTGTGGAGGTTCTATCCCACATCGACTATGGGGGGTTTGGGGGGTTAGTTTATAAGTCCCCTGAACGCCTTCAAAAGTTGCCGGCTTTTGAAGATTGTTCGGGGATTTCGATTTATATGCTAAAAGTTTGAGTTCTCTTAGAAATTGACAAAAAGAGTCATGTGGATCATAAAGCATCTTGACTTCAATTAACATCTATTCAGAAATGATAAAGAATAGGAGGAAATACATTACTAGAATTAATTGACAAATACCATAAGACTAGGCTATTTAAAAACAGCTCCAGCATTTGTCTAGTGCAACTGAAGCAATAAACAAATGATTCAACGGTAGCGTTTTCTTTTACTGTTTACTGGAGCATGTTAAGATGGAGTTCAGTTTTCATATTTTGAAAAGCTAATTTGCACTCCCAGAGTCCAATTTTTATCTTGACGGGATTCATATTACTTCTATCCTAATTTCTTCCCCTACCCTATTTTGTGTTCACATGCAAGGATGTTGGGCACAACTGTCGTACTACTCTAGAAGGTTAAAAAAATTTTAACTTTTGCTTCTCTTTTTCTAAATCTACATGGCAGTTTTTTAATTTATTTTTCATATTCTTATTTCAATTTCAATTTTTGCAAATTTTGATGAGCACAAGTGAGGTTTCATTGCATCATCTGAATACTAGATGCTGTTATGCATTTGTTGAAATATACTAGAAAACTTTACTCCTTCTATGGTGGCTATATGAGCTATTTTTAGTAGACTTTTTGAAGTATTAGTGTCCTATTTATGAGACATTGTAGTTATATTCAATTTTTGATTATCTTTGAAGTTTGGGATTTATTTATTTATTTTGGATTTGAAGTTTGGAATCTGTTCATATTACATTGTTAGATTGATCTTTGGCATCATATAATTTCTTGAAATTTTGTAGAAAAATATATAATACATATTAGTGAAAATTTTAAATTAGCTATTTTTATGTGTAATGGAATAATTAATTGGTTTTAGAATGTAAGAGAAAATCTAATAAAGTTAACACATAGGCAAGGAGAAGAAATTAAGGAGGGGATAATATAGTTTCATCAAATAAAAATATGATAGTGGGAGTGCAAATAATAAATGAGGAGCACAAATAACATTATCCTTTTGAAAAAATAATATTAATTTAAAAAATATATAGAAATTTAACATAGTTAATAATTGTCAGTGTGCAAATTCATACGACAGTAAATTAGGCATGATTTAGGTACATTAATGGACATCCATTAGAAAAACCTATTGTCAGCGTGGGAGGCACTTGAACTATTATAGTAACTAGTTTTGTACCCGTTCGTTGAACGGGAATCATTGAAAAAAAATAAAATATTTAGTTAATTTTATAAATATGTTGATATAAAATACAGATTTTATGTATAATCTATTATAACTTGTCTTAAGTATATTACTATGTAAAGTATACAAACTTATATAAATTATTTTTATAGTATAAAATTGAACATCTAAATCAGTGAATAATAATTCAAAAATGAAAAAAATAACATTCAACAATATTGTAACATTCAAAAACTTGAAAATAAATAAAAAGTGCAGTTAATAGTATCAAATAATATTCTACTCTTCAGAAACTTGTTTTGTTTTTTTTTCTATTTGAACATTCTATTTGTCCGTGCAACTCAGCATTTATTGATTTTTCATTATTACTGCATGATAGCAAAGCAGGATTTAATTAGCCACACTATTTATGGTATTTGATGTATTAAAGTGGGTAATAATTTTATAGTAAATTGTATTTGTAGATTTAGTTGACTATATATTATGTCCATGAAAATCTTGTTATGTTGACCCTTGAACACCAACATATATAAATTTCGCACAAGGAACCAAAATAAAATTTTCCCTTTGAGTTCATGATTACTCAAGAGGCATAGGCCAAATGCTTATAATATGAATATTTAACAGCAGTGTCAGACATAGCAAAAAAAATTCAACTAAAGTAACTAATAGTAATAATAGCTAAAGACACAAATTTCATGAAGAAATGTCTTAGTCAATTGATTATTAAAAATTTAATAACAACATGGGACGTAATCAACAATAACATTTACTTCCATAAAATTCTTACATCTAAAGATGAAGATATTTTTTTAAAAAAGAATCTTTTGGCTCGCTGAAAACAATTTCATTACAAAAATTCTAGACAACAAAACCCATGAAAATTTATATATATGAGGTGAAAATTTGATTAAAAAATATTTACGAAAAACATACATAATTTTTGAAAAAAAAATGGCAATCCATGCAAAACCTCGTTAGTCAAGGAAGTTGTCCGTTTACCGAAGTTTTTACTTAGCATAGTTGCATCCTTTTTAAACTTTTATTCATCTTGTAAACTTGAATCTTTCAGTAATTGTTTGTTCTCATTTTTTTGACATGTTTAAAAAATGAAAATTATATGCATTCGAAACGACCCAATAGGATTCCGTTTTAGTCAATGTCATGAGATTGATCTTCGCATTAATCAGTCAAAAGAAAGACTCCAAAGCTATCCACAGAACGGGCGCACCCATTTAAATGTACTGACGCATGCATGACTGCATGTGCGATTCCCTTAAAACTTATTTCTGATTCGATGCATGTGACCAATTAAAGAAATTCGATGGAAATTCCATTTGACAATTTTTCAATGGATCTTGTTCATTTTGTCATGTTTAGCTTACAAAGGGCATGTGGCATAATTTTATCACTCAATTATTTAGAGTTATCTACTTGGGACAGTAAAAAAACTATTTTACCCAAAGTGGTCTTTGAACCAATTAAAATATATAACATTAAATCAATTACATTTTGGGACTAAAAACGTGCATGTTAAATCAATTCCTATGTCTTCATACAAAACAAACAAAATAAAACAAAAAAAAAACAAAATTCAAGGTATGTTACTAAACTCTTACAATTGAAGATCAACATGTCTTTTTAAAAAAAAATATGTATTGAAAGAAGATGTACCTGATAATCAAGAGGAGGTTATAAACTCAAAATCGATGTTT